GGGCCACCTGGAGGGGCGCGCGCGCGGCGGCGCCTCCTGCGCGTCCGCTGTCGCATGCGAGGCTTACCTCAAGAGAGCGGGGTGGTCCGTTATCCAAACTAGCGTCAGTGGCTTTGACCTCGCGGCCGCCCGCTGCGGGCCTCTCCCAGGACTCCTGTAAGGTTTTGAAGTGGCCGGAGTTTTCGGCCTGCTCGCGCGCCAACCGCACGTCTCGCTTGGCCCCTTCCTGCGTCGATCCTTCAGCAAAGGCAGGAGGGCCGCCGCCAGCGGCGCGTGTTCCTGTGCTGACCTATGGTTTCGGGTGTCGGAGCGGTTGGACGACGTGGGGGAGCGGAGGATGGGCTTTGTTGTTGAGGAGGTCAAAGGCCGCACGCTCGCGCGAGACGTCGCGCGGCCCGACGATGCGGATTTCCTTCGCTCGGGGAGCAAGTCTGCCGACCAGCGAGAATGCGCCGCCATGCACCCGAGCGACGAGTTCGCGAATCATCGTCTCAAGCAGTCTGCCAGCTTCTCCTGTGTGCAAGTACCTCGTTCGTGCCCACAGGACGGTGGGCCCTCTGCACTTACAACCTTCGGGTCACGATGTGTCGCGCGAAGGTAGGAGGAGGAGGAGGAACACCCCGCGTGTTGAGGTCGAGCCTGGAATGCACGAGCCTGCCAGTTGTGAAGGCCAGGTCCGATGCGTCCGATGCGTGCGAGTTGCTAAAGATGCCAAGACACTAAGCAAGTTCGATGCCAGATTGTGGAGGGGACCGCCCGTGGCTTGTGGGCCCTTTCGTCTTGTGTGGCGTGCCGAGCACACTCCAAGGACAACGCGCAGGGTCTGGCCCAGATCTGAAGCGGCCAGTGCGTTCGCGGCTCGGCCACCCAGACCCGTCCATCGAAACTCTGGCAGGGTATTGCTTTGTCGGCGCGAGCATTCCACCCGCCCTGCGGTCGGGTCCCTTGCCCCCTGTTCCGTTTGGCGCGTTTGCCCTGGATGCCAACGTCGGGGGCCTTGAGGTCTTCCCCGGCTGGTAATCCTGCAAGCCGAGTCGCGCATATTGCGCGTTGAGGCGCCGCAAGCCGAGTGGCGCATTGTGCGCGCAAGGGCACCTGTAGTTTCAAATTGCAGGTGCCTTTGCGCGTGCCTACGGGCGTGCGTCCACGACGCAAAACTTTTTTTGCGTCGTGGAAGCACGCCCGTCGGTGCCTACGATGGGATTTTCGCCACCTGTGGCGAGGATGTGGGCTGTCTGGCTGGCCCTCATTTGCTCCTTAAGAAGCACATCCTCCTCCTCCTTTCCCTTCTCAACCTCCTCCTCATCATCATCCTCATCCTCGTCATCATGCTCATAATCATCATAAGCATCATCATCATCATCATCATCATCATCATCATCATCATTATCATCATCATCATCATCATCATCATCATCATCATCATCATCATCATCATCATCATCATCATCATCATCATCAGCATAATCATCATCATCATCATTATCATCATCATCATCATCTTCATCATCATCATCATCATCATCATCATCACCATCACCATCATCATCATCCTCATCATCATCAGCTTCCCCTCCCTCGCTCCCTCCCTCACTCCCTCCCTCCCTCCCTCCCTCCCTCCCTCCCATGAGCGGCTGCCATGGTCACCGCACGGTCGTGTGTTTCGGGTCTTTCTCCAAGGAAGTCTCGGGCGATTGGGACCTTCGAGGTCCCAAGATCGTGCGGTGACGGACTGTGCGGTGAGGTTTGTTGAGATCTGGAGGTCACCGCGCGGTCCGTCACTATACGGTTTGGGGACACCCAAAGACTAGCGACAAAGACCAACAGCAACTCCTGCCCACTTTGCTCAAGACTCGCTGTCGGTGTCGTCGCGGACGTTTGCCGCTGGGGGCCGGAAGTTCCATGCTCAGCAGCGGCCGTTGCTGGCTTGGGGCAGCATTCGCTGTTGGGCATCACGCCCATTATCTCCGTTCCAATTTCGGGCGTCCAGATGCAAAGGTGACAACCCCGAGTGGCCTAGTGCCCATGAGCGTCGGTTTCTCCTCCTCCTCCTCCTCCTCCTCCTCCGCTGCCTCCCCCCCCACTAACCCCCTCCTCTTCCTCCTCCTCCTCCTCCTCCTCCTCCTCCTCCTCCTCCTCCTCCTCCTCCGCTGCCTCCCCCCCACTACCTCCCCCTCCTCCTCTTCCTCCTCCTCCTCCTCCTCTTCCTCCTCCTCCTCCTCCTCTTCCTGCTCCTCCTGCTACTCCTCCTCCTGCTCCTCCTCTTTCTCACTTCCTCCTCGTCCTCCCACGCGCCCCTTCACACCCGGAGAAGCGCGCAGGACCGCGAAGACCCATGCGCCCTGCCTGTCGCGTGTCATGTGCTCTTCATGCCTGGAGCGCAGGCGCCATGGAGATCGGGGGCGTCCACGGAGGGGGTGATGACTGGGAGGCGTGGATCTCACGGTCAAGGCGCCTGGGAGCGCCTGGGAGCGCTTGGGAGCGCCTGGAAGCGCTTGGGAGCGCCTGGGAGCGCTTGGATGCGCCTGGAGGCGCCTGGGAGCGCCTGGGAGCGCCTGGGAGCGCTTGGGAGCGCCTGGGAGCGCTTGGATGCGCCTGGAAGCGCCTGGGAGCGCCTGGAAGCGCCTGGGAGCGCCTGGGAGCGCCTGTGGGCGCCCTCCTGGGATTTCATGTCCCCCACCTGCTGCTTTGAACGCGTTCCCTGGAGCCCCCTCCGTCCGCGCACGTGTCCCAGGCCATGCTCTGCGGTCCCCGCTCGCTCTTGGACGCTGCCCTCTTTGGCGCACCCGCCGAACAGCGGCTCGGGACGAGCAGCCGGTCTCCCGGGCCAAAAGCCCCAGTCAGGGGCAGTGTTCGGGGGGGCCGGGCTTATGTCGGGCCTGTCCCCTTACAGGGGGATTTTCGACGAAAAATATAAAACAATACCCCCCAAATAGCCCAAAAGGGTTTATAAATATTGAAAAAATAGTCCCCAGACCATTTTCGGATTATTAGTTGATTATTTTGGGGGTATTTTTCATTTTTCGTCGAACATCGCCCTGTAGGGGGACAGGCCCGTCCTAAGGCTAGGCTCAGGGGGGGGGGGCATCGACCCCCAATCGCCCATCGATCGCCGAGAAGGTTCTCAGACCCCGCCCCGCCCTGGAACGTGCGGGTTCACTACTGGGGGGCCCACCGCCAATCGATCGGCGATGAGTCGCTGGTTCCAGGTCGATGTGTCTCCCCGGAGCCAATCCCCCCCTAACGTTAGGTCGGGCCTGTCCCCCTACAGGGGGAGTTTCGACGAAAAATAAAAAATACCTCCAAAATAATAAAAAAATAGTCCCAAAATGGTCTGGGGACTATTTTTTGAGTATTTTGTCTCCCTTCTGGTGTATTTTTGGGGTATCTTTTTTATTTTTCGTCGACAATCCCCCTGTAGGGGGACAGGCCCGACACAACCCTAACGTCGCATCTCAGAAAAGGCGGGGATCTCATTCGCCGGCTTGCTGTGCCATCTGTGCGCCGGCCCAACGAGGTTTGCCGATCCGGGTGCGATCGGACCTGCCGCGGTCGGCGTTTCGGAGGAACGCGCCGACTTCGGCCCGGTTTTGCCGTCTGCCCGCTCTCGCCTCCGATGACAGCGCCAACGTTGAACATGTATTCCAACGCGCATGCGTTCTCTTGCTCGGCGCACTCCTCAGAAGAGCCCCTGCGTCCTCAGAAGAGTCTTGCGTCCTCGCAGATGTCTGAAGGGGTGTGAAGCCCCCACCTCCTCTCGTTGTGATGAGATCACGCCGGCGGTTTCTGGACAGTTTTCGGCATCTGGAGGTGCTCGTCGGGGGCCCCAGGGCCGTCAGACAGCGACTCGCCGATTGGAAAGGTCCAGACCTGGAAGTAGAGCTCCATAGGCGTGGATCAAGGAAGCGCAAACATGGGCGCGTGAATTAGCGACTGATCCCCTTTCTCAGGCGGCATTGGCCTCATGTTTCGGCGGGTACCTTCCCTGATCTGCGACTCTGGCGCCCATTCGCCAGATCCACGGATCCGTAATCCATGTGAGCGTGCGCCTGACTGGAATGACAGAAAAGTTCAGGACAGGTCTGGGTCTGGACCAGCGAGTTTCGAAAACCGATTTTGAGGATGCTTCGCGAAAGAGCTGCGCAACAAGTGTACCCCATCGCCCCCACCTGCCCCTCCCTCCCCCCTCTGGAGAGGTTGGTTAGGTGAGGGTGGGGGTGCTTATTTGCTCCCCTCACAGGGCGGGGATGCTCTGATTCGCTGGCTTGCTATACCACGTGTTTTCTCACTTGCTCGCGTAGGTCGTCCTCAGAAGAGTCTTGCGTCCTCAGAAGAGTCTTGCGTCCTCCCAGCTGTCTGGTGTATCCAGTCGCGGTCGCGCAGCCCACGCTCGCAAAATCACGACAGCTCCTGGCCACGCCCCCCGGTGGCGCGGTCCACCGATGCACGGCGGAATTGCTCGCGCAGGACCTCCCTGTAAATTGGATTGGCACCGTTCACCGAGCGATCCCTTGGTTCCACGACGACTCGACGACGCGAAAACATGCACTTTAGCTCAAACCCAAAACAGACGCCCAATCCCAAAAGCGCGAGGGCCAAGACAGAACGCAGGCTCCTCGAAACTTCGGGGAGGGAGACTTTCGGGCTCTGGGTTTTACCAGGGTGACGACGACGGACGCAAAACAGACCCCGAAATCTTTGGCGGATCTTCGAATCCTCTGTGAATCCGCGATTTTGGGGTTGGGGATGTCACTGTAGCGCGTGGATTAGCCACGGGTCCCGTTTTTTCGTGCGAAGCCAGCGCGCTCCGTCGCCAAACGAGGCCGCACTGGCGCCCACAGCGCTCATAGCGCCCACGCGCCAGCTCCACGGATCCCCCAAGGAGGAGGAGGAGAAGGAGGAGGAGGAGGAGGAGGAGGAGGAGGAGGAGGAGGAGGAGGAGGAGGAGGGAGGAGGAGGAGGAGGAGGAGGAGGAGGGGGACTTCGACGACCCCGAGGAGTGGCGCCCGCTCTCGCAGCCGGGGCCATCTGGGAGCCAGCGGGTGCCCAGGCGCTCGCCCGGCGCGGCCAGGGAGAGCGCCACCGTCCACGGCCTCCCCGAGGGCTCCCCGGTGGCCGTGCGAGTCGTTGCCGCCCTCTCCGCGGGCGCGGGCCCTGCGGTGCAGCTCCCGGGGCACTGGGCCGAGCTCGCCACCGCCCGGCCCTCCAGTAGCGAGGACGGCCCGGAGACGCCCCGCAACCTGGACCCGCTGGGCGCGCCGCGCCAGGGCTGCGCGGCCACCCGGTGCGGCGGCTACAAGGCCGCGCGGTCTCGGCCCGAGGCCCCCGCCGGCGCGCCCGTCGCGGGCGACGCGGAGCTCTGCGACCGCTGCGGCGCACACTTCTCGAGCCACGACGCTGCGCCAGCGCCTGCGGCGGAGGCGGCAGCGGCGGGGAGTGGTGCGAGCGGCGGCGAGGCCGGCGAGTGGAGGGTCGTGGCGAGGGGCGTCTTCGTGCGCGACAGGCCGTCCACAGGCGGAGCCCAGGTCGCGGCGCTCTCGCGCGGGCAGCCGCTGTCGGGCCAGCTGCTGCCCAGCGGCTGGGTGTCCCTAGACGCGGGGTGCCGCGGGAGGCTTGGCATCGCATCCGAGGAGGCCTTCGTCCTCACCCACGGGGATGCGGCTGAGATGCCCAACCTTGGCGCGCTGCTCGAGCGCGTCGAGCTTGGCCTCTCCGGAGCTGCCGACGGCGGCGGGGAGATCGAGGAGTGCCGGGCGGCCGATGGGGCTGCGGGCGAGCAGGACGCCAGGGGCAGCATCGAGTCGGTGCAGGGGCACGCGGCGAGGGCCGCCGAGGTCCTGCGGGGCCGGCCACTGAGCTTCCTGGTGGTGTCCGCCGAGGGTATCAGCGTCCGTGAGCGGCCCGTCGCCTGGTCACCGCCGCGGGGCGGCCTGCAGACTGGAGACCTGGTGAGAGGCTTCCCGGGCAGTGGCTGGCTGCTCCTCAGCGGCGGCGACCTGGACGGCTGGTGGGCCTCCATCGGCGGCGGCCCGCGGAGCGCGACCACGCTGCTCGAGGCGCAGTGGAGCAGGGTCACGGTGAGGAGCAGCTTCATGGAGGCAGCCATCGTAGAGTGGCCTGGCCTGGACCCCGCGGAGTACCCAGAGATCACCTACGCGGTGGAGTGGAGGTCAGAGGATCAGGGCGGCGCGAGCCAACGTCGCGTGACCAAGCGAGCACACGCGCACATCACCGGGTTGCCAAGGGGCAGCATAGCGCGGCTGCGTGTTTTGGCCTGTGTGCCAGGCCAGCAAGACAGTCAGGCGCCGCTTCGCCTCAACGGTGCGTGGGCAGACGTTCCCACCGCGGAGCACGCGCGCGAGTCTCTTTGGCCAGAGGAGGAGCTTGACAGCACCGACCCCCTCGGCGGAGCTCGCGCGGGCTGTTTGGCCAGCAGGTGTGTGGGGTACGCCGCCCCGGAGGACAAGCACAGTTACCTGAACGACTTCGGCTCCGTGCTGTGCCGCAGGTGCGGCGTCGCCTTCGCAAAGCACCTTCGCGCCGGCGCCGCGCGGGCTGCGCGGGGGGTCGCCCAGCCGAGCCCCGGGGCTCCTGGCAGGTACGTTGTGCAGCACTTCGCCGTGCTCATGCGCAGCGAGCCGAGCCTGCAGGCGGACAAGCTGGGCGCGCTGTGCCGGGGCAACGTCGTACGGGGCCGCGCGGTCGGCGGCTGGCTCGAGATCTGCCGTGAGGACTCCGAGAGGTACTCTGGCCGCGCAGGTCACACTGCTTACGCGCTCGTGGACGGCACAGCCATCGGTCTGGGCGCGCTGCTGACGCCCTGGAGGGAGGGCGACCCCCTCCCGGGTGACGAGTCTGGGGAGGAGCCGCTGCCGCCTGTGGGCCACAGGATGCAGGACGTGTACACAGGTCGACGGAGGCAAAGAGGGTGGACAGCCCAGGGGTGGGCATCACACGCAGCCGCCAGGGCGATCGGAGCCCATGGATTCGAGCTGGCCGCAATTTCAAGAAGGTCCAGGTCGGCGTTTTGGGAGAAGGCGCTGATTTGCCAGATCTTGGGCCCAGAAGGGGCCCCAGACCCTCGTGCTCCCCGCTGCCGCTCCTGCGAGCAGCGCCGATGTCGAGCTCTAAGGCCCGCGCGCTCACGCGGGTGCCCCCCTCCTGGGGTGGTCCGCCCCGGCTGCAGCCGCCGGACCCAGACCTCCAGCGCCGTGCTTCCTCGATGACGTGGGTCCACAGAGGTCTGGACCGCTCTCCCGGACTGGTGCTTCAGCCCGAGGGATTTCTGTCGACGGTCCCGAGACCCGGTGAGGGCCCAGCGAAGCTCCAGGAACAAAACAAAAACAGCATGAGCAAATTTTCGGAGCTCCGCGCGGGTTTTTTCTTGGCGCCCCCCTGGCGCGCGCCGCGGGCCAGGGAGGGAGGCCCCGCGCAGATCCACGACATCTGCGCGGAATTCCAATGTTTACACGCTGTTCATCTCCAATTCTTCGAAAGTTCTTGGATTTTTTGGGACCAAGATCCTTTCATTTCTAAGTGTTCGATCCTGGGCCTCTTTCTGGCCACTAGGGGGCCAGGAAGAAGTAGAAACGAGCACAATAGAAATGAACACGATTAGAAATGAACGACGTGTATGTTTGTACCGTTATTCCCCAAACAGTGCCCGCATTTGGGGTATCGTTTTTGCTTTTCTGAAGAACTGGGCCTGTGTGGCGGTCTGGCTGCTATGTTGTCGCCGTCGCCGCCCCATCGCCGCCACAGAATCTGCACTACAACGACTGCACACCATATACTGCACAACCTGGATTCTCCCTTCCAGTAGAAGTGACTACTGGGATCTACCTCCCCCCCGGACTTACCGGCCCGCCTTTTGTATTTCATGGCCTTCAGCCAATCCCGCCTCAGTGCCTGGATTTTCAGTGTGAAACATATTGGATGTTCGTTGGGGTCTCGTGAGAGGCTTCTCGGGGGCCTCTTGGAGGCAGTTTGGAGGCCCCCTGGGGGCGGTTTGGGGGCCTCGTGGGCCTGTTGGGGCCCTCTTGGGGCCTCTTGGGGCCCCCTGGGAGCCTCTTGGGGCCTCCTGGGTGCCTCTTGGGACCTCCTGGGGGCTTCTTGGGGCGGAAGGCTCGGATTTTCAGTTCGTGTTCCCCATCTGGGGCCCCTTTTGGGGCCGTCTTCGGGCCCTCTTGGACCGTCTTTACCGTCTCTTGGGCCGTCTTGGGGCGCTCTTCGGCCGTCTTGGGCCCCTCTTGGAGGCCTCTTGGGCTGTTTTCGGGTGGTTTGGGGGCCTCTTGGGCCGTCTTGGAGCATCGGAGAGCAAAGACGTCGATAACGCCAAACTCCTTCAAAAAACCAACGGACAATCTATGACCTTTGCCTCTTGGGAGGCCTCTTGGGGGCCTCCTGGGGCGTCTTGGAGGCCTTTTGGGCCATCTGGTGGCCATCTTGGGAGTCTTGGGCTGAACTCTCGGCGACTCGGAGCCCTCTTGGGCCGCCTTCGGGGCCATTTGGGGCCCTGTTGGCCTGTCTTGGGGCCCATTTAGGTCAGAAAAATCCATGCACCATTTCCCAGAGCCCAGGCGGGCACGCGGGAAGCCCCTGGAGATTTGAGAGCGAGGGGTCCGGGGGTTCGTTAAAGATTCGTCAGGAGTGAGGACTGAGGCTTCAAGGAGTAGGCCCAGGATCTGAGGACATGCCCACTCCGTGCCCAACGGCACGACGGTTTCGGATTGCAATGTACATATGGTTCTGCACACTCGTCCATGTGAAGTATGAATCCATACCATCCCGTGCAGACGCTTTTCATCCCCCCTCATCCTCAGCAAGAAACGGTATGTGCGCGCACTCGTTTATCAAAAACTCATCAATGTTGAAGCATCCTTGGTTAACAAAAACTGGATGGAGTACATCTGCGCGAGTCGTCGCGCGCGCATGCTGAAACCCTTTAAAACTCAAGTTTTCGCAAGGAGTTTAAAACCGAGTGTCCGGTAAAAAACAGGTTTCGCAACGGGAACTGTCAAACAATATACGCTAACGATCTTGCGCATTAGTAAGATAACCAATGGTTTGGCTTGCGTTTGCACCAAATGCTACCAAACGTGCCTCCCGCGTGCGCGTGTCGAAATTATCGAACGCACCTTAGGTTTCGTACGGATTTCAATATCGAGTGTCCCGAAAAGATACAAGACAGGTTGGTTTTGCAGCATCAGTTTCAAACATATTTTTTAAAAAGCTTGCGCGCGCTCTTGCGAATTCTCGACAGAACCATCGGCTTTCCACAACTCCATTACCAGCACGAGGACATCGTCATCTTCATCTGCGTGATCAACATCGATGCTGTCAGTGGCCTTACCGTCGGGGTGGTCACCATCGTCACCATCATCGCTCTCATCATCATCGTGTCTACAATTGCCGCCGTCTCCATGATACTGTGCCCGCCCACGTCACCGACTCGGGCTGGAGTGCCCGCTGGGAAGTGCCGGCGGTCAGCGCCACCGCGGCGGCGTCGGTCGCGCCAAACTAGCTGGCCGCTGTGCGCGCGAGCATGCGCGGGCTAGCACGGATGCAGAGATGCACCAGCCAACAGAAAGCACCCATCGCAATCGTCGCCGCATGGGTCTTGCAAATCAAGTTGCGGGTGGATGGGTGGGATGATTGCGCGACAGATGGAGTTGTCCACTCCACGTTTTTCAGGTTTGACTCACATTTCTAAAAGAGGTATAGACTCTCCCCCCCTCCCCCCTGGTCTTCATGTAACTCCCTCTCGAAGTGAGTTTTCATTTTTTCTGCGCACGCCCATCGTAAATATGAATCCAGAGTGCCCCAGCTAGGTTGGTATCGCCTCCCCCCATCTCCTGCAAAATATTCTATGCGCGCGCATTCGTTTATAACAAATCACCCGTGCCCAAGAATACCCGACAACATCGGGACAAAGTGCACACGCGCGCGCCGTCGCGCGCGCATGCCGATATCCGTTAAAAACCATGGGTGTCGTAATGCTTTCTAGATCGAGGTTCCCGACTGCGTATAAACACACATGATTTCGCAACAAGAAGTTTCACAAACAAAGCTTGCGCGCGCGCGCTCTTGCGAATTCTTACGAGAACCATTGGGCTTCAATATGTTCATACCATGTTACAAAAGTCAGGGAAGTTCCGGTTCGGTTCGGTTCGGTTGGGTTCCGAAGCGCCTCCGGTTCGGTTCGGTTCGGTGTCGTAATCTTCCAGTTCGGTTCGGTTCGGTTCGGTACGTTTATTTTTTGTTTCCGGTTCGGACCGGTTCCTGTTCCGGTTCGGTCCGGTTAAGGCCAGATCGCCGTCGAGCAGCGGTTCCGACCCCAGGCGATCCGAAAGGGGCCCCAAAGGGGCCCCAAACCCCCAAAGGGGCCCCAGAGGGGCCCCAAACCCGCATGGGGGCTCCAAAGGGGCCCCAAACCCCCAAAAGGGCCCCAAAGGGGCCCCAAAGGGGCGCCAAACCCCCAAAGGAGCCCCAAAGGGGCCCCAAAGGGGCCCCAAAGGGACCTCAAACCCGCATAGGGGCCCCAAAGGGGCCCCAAACCCCAAAGGAAAGGGAGGTTTGTCGGGGTGGCTGCAGCAGACTGCTGGTGGGTCGGTTTTTGACGTTGCCAGAGGCTGAAATAGCGAAAAACCTCCGGTTGTGATTTTTTCACAGCGCCTGGATCTGGGGGTTGTCGTCATCGTCGTCGTCGCCGCTGGTCATCCTCCCTCCTCCTCCCTCCGTGGCCAGTTTTCCGGTTCGCTCCGGTTCGGTCCGGTTCGGGCCGGTTCGGCGGGGGGAGGTTCGGCCCGGTTCGCAGTCCCGGTTCGGTTCGGTTCGGTTCGGTGTTGTAATTTTCCGGTTCGGTTCGGTTCGGTTCCCATTGACAAAAAAACATCGGTTCGCGCCTGTTCGGTTCGGCCCGGTTCGGTTCGGCCGGTTCGGTTCGGTTCCATTCAGAAAGGTGCCTCTCGCGCGCACATGCCGAAGTCGCTCGAACGCCCCTGCGCGCGTGCTGTCGCAAGAATCCTTTGCAACGAATCAGACGAAGCGCATGCCCGCGAGTCGTCGCGCGCGCACGTCGAAATTGTTTCCAAATCCAGAGTCTTCGCAGGGATTTCAAAATCGAGTGTCCTGGACACATTACAAACATGGTTTGGCAACGTCAGTTTTCAAAAGGGCTGCGCTCGCGGTCTTGCGAATTCTTAAGACAAGCGTAGTTGTTTTCGAATGTTCATTTAATTCGGCCGCGCGCGCATGTCGAAGTCCTTCCCAACCCTTCATCACCGACGCGAAGACGCGTCACTGGCGTCGGCGTGATCAGCATCGGCGCCGTCACTGGCCTTGCCGTCGTCGTTATCATAATCGTCACCAGCATCGCTATTAGCATCCTCGTGTCTACCGTTGTCGACGTTGCCTTGATACCGCGCGCGTCCAAGTCGCCGACTCGCACTGGAGTGCCCGCTGGGAAGTGGCCCGCGGTCAGCGCCACCGCGGTGGCGTCGGTCGTGCCACAGAAGCTGGCAGCTGCCGGCGCGAGCGTGCGTGGGCTAGCACGGCCGCAGATATGCACTAGCCAACACCAAGGACTCAGCGCAATCGCCGCCACATGGGTTTTGTAAACCAAGTTGCGGGTGGGTGGGTTGGACGGTTGCGCGAGCAGAGGAGTTCACAATTCGCTGCGAACAAAAATGAACTGCACCACGTCGTTTTTCCTCCCCAGAAGAGCATTACGTAAGACCTGCCCTCCCCCGCCTGAACTCAACGACCCGCCGTCTTGCATGTCAATGTACACATGATTTTGCCCCATCGCCCATCTAATATGTAACTCATATAACCCCACGGATCCTTTGACTGGTCCCCGTCACCCTTGAGAACAACATCAGTCGCGCGAATTCGTTGATCAAAAATCG